AGTACTTTTCTCGATTATTGCAAATGCGACATTCTTCTTCGCTGCACACCGAGTTGACAGTCGATTTGTACATGGACTTGTTGGTACTTACGAGGTTAGTTGCTATTACACTGCTTTGTTTTAAAATTAAATTGTTGATGAGAACCGCTCAACTGTGTTATTTTAATTCGAACCTCGAGGCTAGCTGATCTGTTATGTTTCCTGCATTCACTATGCTGTACCCGTACATTACAGTTCGCATTTTCTATTTATCGATAAAGTCACAATTGGAATTTTCATCTTCTCGAATTCAAATTTTACAAGGCTGAGTGAATTTCGGGATAATTTTAATTTTTAGCAAGAAATTGGTCCTGCTTTCTATTTATCATTAGCGTCGACGTCGTTGCTGTTGTTTTCATTCCTCTTGGCGCTGGTATCAACGTACTACTTAGTTCAAGATGCAAACAGACCACATGATGGATTAATTTCACCAGTGATGCGCGAATTGATACCGTTATACAATTCTACTAGGCACACCGCCATTTAATTTTGTTGTTTTATTTCGCTGCTTGGATTTGGATCTTGTTACAATTAAAAATATTGACTCTGTTTTGAATTCGAATCATGGATTGTTTAAAGAATAAACAAACAAAATCAAAACTGTAAGACTCTTTGAATGACCTAGTATCTGTTTGACATGCAGAGAGAGATATGTTTGAATAAATTCTACATCTCCTGATGATGCTACATCGTGAAGTATTGCTAAAAAAAGTACAACGGTCTTACTGGATTGCATGCATGCAAAAAAGGTGAAACGCGACAATTAAAAATCAAAGTAGTTTGATTGCATGCATGCAAGAAGGGTGAAACGCTACAATTAAAAATCAAAGTAGTTTCCTGCGCAAGATTATGATTTAAGTCCTTCACTTTTTCGAGGAACACTTTGCAACTTCACTGTAAGCAATATTTTCATTAAAGCGACGAGGCTGCGACAGCGATGACATGATTTGACGCACTTTTTTTCCCCGTTGTGGTTTTTTTTTGGCAATATTTCTGCTTGTCTTACATCCGGATATACCGTAAATGCTGACATGTTCACCAAAATAAAACAAGTGATCATTAATAGTGTAGTGGCGGTAGTAACCATTGCTGCAAACAGAGCCTCTAATAAATTTTTCCATGGAAAATCGAGAAATGAAATTCCTACTTTTTTTGAAACGTACAAGAAATCAGACCTGCAGGTTTGGTCTTCATTCAAGGGTTGACCCGAACAAAGTCTGTATCGAGAAGTTTCGGTCATATTTTTGGGATACCAGATCTCAAGTCCGTGATGATATGGTCCAAAGCTAAATCGTGAGCTGCATGCAAACGTTCGTATGTTGATTAAACAATTTGGTAGATGCGATACCTTAAATCTTGAATAATTTCGTGCTTTTCAAATTTATAGAAATGAATATATATATATTTTTCGATCTGAATCGTTTTTGATGATCTTGTAGATTTGCCTTACATGCGACGTTGGTTCCATTCCTATGCCACGTTTATAGATATACATAAATGAACAAAGAAAATTTAAGTACCTTAAAATATAGAGCATAGAGTATCAGAATACGAAGCAGTTTCTATATCATTCACTATTGTAGAACAAACAACATTAAAAAGATGATAACTTACTAAATCTCCTTGATGTACTACGCGAAAGCTGACGGGTACCAATGTATCATGAGCGAATGCATAGTCTCGATTGCCCGTCCTAGGTTCACCAAAGGTTATAAGTCGAATATCTATTTTGAGCTCCCTCTTAGCATAAAAATTTGCAAAGTGAGCACTAGCCAAGGATGCAAGTGAACCGCCAAGAGAATGTCCAGTAAATATTATCGGCCGAGTGCTGTTTGTCTGCAAAAGATTACCGTGTAAATGAATATACTAATAGCGTCATCGCTCATACTACGGTTATTTACGTGCTAAGATTCAGAAAATAGATTTTAGAATCTTTGGGTGAGTTAGAACAACAAATTCGCCTTTAATGTTCTTCTCAGCATAGACCACAAATCCTTCCAAATAGATCTGAATGCCGCATTGAAATAACGTTGCACCGAACCACCTGCAATGAATTTCGCTTTTGGTTCTGTCATACCGGCCAGAATTTCGGCAGTGAGTTGAAGTTTCGAGTGTGTACCGCCAAATGCGACAACGACATGTGTGGGAGATTGTGATATATAATATAGGCACTGAAATTTTACAATTCTTCCAAAAAAATCAAGCTGACAATTAGCTCAAGTGATAATTCTTCCAAAAAAATCAAGCTGACAATTAGCTCAAGTGATAATTCTTCCAAAAAAATCAAGCTGATAATTAGCTCAAGTGATCTGATCGTTAGGTATATATCACATTTGAAGTTAATACCGAAAATAATGTTGTTTTTCATCAAACAATAATGGATTTGGTGTTGATTTTAAGGATTAATGCACCTCTTTAAAGTTAAAATAGAAAAATTTAAATGCTGGAAATAATGGGAAAGCGTATTCGAGTTTTTTACCTCGTCATGGAAGTGATCACAAGATACGTTGCCCTGTCGTAGAATATGAGTACCATAATATTTTGCCAGGCATTTCGATGGCTCTCTAGAGTATGCTGCAGCTGCATGCTCAAATGCAAAACGAGCAAATTCTGGATCATATTCTTGAAAAGCAATGGCAAAGTATAGTTGGAACAATGTTAAAATTATCAACAAACCAGAACACATCACATTCTACTGATTGTTTCCTTTGATTCTTCCTGCTGTAACTGCAGTATCGCTGAAACTAAACGTTTGATGAATAGAAAGTCCATTCCAGTCTTTCCGACTTTATCTCCATTCAATACTTCAACTTAAACATTGCCATCTAAAGTGTAGTTGATAAGACTCTTCTCAACTACTATAAGATGATAAGATGATGCAACTGGGCGTACTGAATACATAATTGCCTACATGAATCTTATGCTATAAATTTTTGAATTAGCCAACTAATGGCTATAACCTAACTTATCGTGAGAGTGATGAAAACTAGATGTGGTGAAAAAATCTTTCAGCTAATAGTTAGTAGATATTTCCGTCAGCAATCATCGAAGACAAATAGCAGTTGGAGAATATTGTCATTTGAAGAATTAAAGAAATATTATTGAAATAGAATTGAGGAATATTATTGTTCAGAACGAGTTAACATCGACCAATAGTAGTCTATTCATCATGCATTGTTTGCTGTCTTATCAAACTCAATGTTATCAGTTGTGATGGAACAGCAGCAGTTGTGGCGAAATGAGTGGGAGTGATAATCAGAGTAATTAATCATTCGGAATCTTCGTTTCATCCATTTATCAAAGTTCAAAATAACAACACCAATTCAGCACCCTTATCAATGCCTTACTCCTAACACGACAACCATTAAATTTAATGGGAAAATACCATTAACTATTGGCTGGCTGATTGTTAAACATGCATATTCCATAATCTCCAATTCCCGATTTGTATTTAAAAGTTTGGGACTAGGAAATTGGCCTTTGAAAGGTTGAAATATTATTACCAAGTTTACCAACTATTTTGCTCATTTTCTGCTACGACAAGAAGACTTTATACGTTCTGATATCTACCGTGCACCAGGACAAAATACATAGAAAGTTCTCATTTCAATGTGAAGAAAAAAATCCAAGGTCTTGGCTATATGACGATATATCCGAAAAATAATAACACGAAGACGATATAAGTTGCAACATATTGTGAATTCTTTTTATTTAATAAATTGCCAATTACAGTCAATCTCAACTAGTTTAATGTTAACCCTTGCTCTTTGAAAATTTGTGAAATAAGGAAAGAATTTGAAATATGCACTGGAATAAACGTACATGAGAAAAGAACTGGATAAATAAATGATAATTATTGGAAGAAAAAAGAGAAGCAAATGAGGTACTAAGTTATACAACTAAATAATGATTGGTTTTAAATAAAAGGAGTGAAACATAGGGAAATTGTAATTTTCCAGTTCCATACACCATAAATGAACAATTTTTATCGGAATATAAACATCCATATAACTTTCAAAATATATGGAGAATCTTTGGTTATGCTGAAAATTATCGAAGATCAAAGCAAAAGGTGATGCGTTCAGAAGAATTTACAATGGACTAAAATATTTCATCTTGGAACGGAATTGCTACTAAACTCGTCCATTTTGATTTTCTATCTTTTTTTGTGGATATGAATTCTGTCTCTTCCTTCTTGCTCACTTCCAACACAAATTCCATACACGGAAGTAGCGATGGTAAAATGAAAAATTCCTACTCAAACAAAGACCAAAGTAAAAAAAAAGGAAGACTAATTAGATAAAAAAACCAGAAATGAAGCGTTCACCCAACAATATTGAGTATTTTGCCAATCCATAAGATCCTTTATCACCAATAAAAGATCTTGAGTTTGGCTAAACTGTTACACTCTATTTTCTAAGCCAACCTGGAAGACCTATCAGTGATATCATGTTAAGATTTGTCCGTGTTTTTTCTGCATATTTTAATCATTGAATACTACTGATAATAATTAGAGTATGAACTGGTAATTAGTTTTTCTAAATTAAACAAAGATCTGCAATTTATCGGGGAATAAGAAGAGATTGAAATAATTTTGTTTTAGTGGTACCATCATTTTCAATATTAAATCAAATATAGTAATATTAAACAAAAGTGAATGGTCTTTGAAAACAGGAATTATTTCAACTTAAATTTTTAAAAATTGCACCGTAATGATTGTTGCTCACATTACGGGTAAATCAGAAGGTTACTATAACTGTCTCTATTTCGTGATACCTGTCATAAATCTCGTTTTACTTTTTTTTTCTTTGGCCATCCCACAAAATTCCTATTCTTATTACTACTCTTTTGAAAATAGTCTAAACCATTGTTCCACAAAAACACAGCGCATATGAAAGATTCTCTACTTAATAGTAACCTCCTAAAGGAGTAATTTACCATTTTTCGAAAGAGAAAGAACAATAACGGGTTGGTTGGTGGTCATAAACATTTTTCATTTTCTCTGGTAGTAGAAGGAGCCGTTACTATCAATCCGTTGTTGCCGGCTTCGTTTTTTTTTAATCCAGCTAATTCGTTAATATTGGGTGCTTTCACATCAACTGATTCGGGATTTTGCTCATGGAACAGACGTAAAGCTTCCAAACCAGCACGTTTTGCAGCCATTTCATGAAGTTGCTCAAGTGATGTATCCTGTCGGCAGCAACCCTTGGCGCTGGAATTTAGGAATTTGGTACAGCAGCGTTTGTCAAAGTAGCAGATCCTATCTTATACTTCAAACATGAAATTACAAACTGATTAATTTCGAAAAGACTGGAACATACTTGGAGAAATGTTGATATGGATTTTCCTTCGGAAGGGCCACATTGCAAACATAACAGAAGAAAGTGCCGCAAGGACATGTCATTTTATTGCATCCCGTTTCTTTCGTAATCCTAAGAGAAATGAAATAGGGAAAATTATCAAAAAGTAGCCTAATGAGTTAATCAAAAAAAAGGGAATTCGAAACAGGAGTAATACTCAATACATTTTACCGAGGTGATTGAGAGTTTCAATTGACAAGTTCTTCTAAAAAAACCCATTTGCTCTTAATTCCTTATTCTCATGCTTCTAAAAATATATTAAATGCATCTCTTCAAAGGATAAATAACAGACTGTGAGATCTTGCAATATCATGGAAATCTCACCTGTTATCACAAGTTGGACATTTACGAATTACTGCTTCTGACATGCGCTCTTCAATAAATTTACGTTTTTTTGTCTCAAAATCAACTTCTTCATCAACTTCCTCACATCGTAACGGAATATGTGATTCTTTCAGACATTTCCTGAAGTTTTTAAGAAAAAGAAAGTTGACTGAGAAAATGATGTTCAACTGTGGGAGTAAAACTTTATGGCAGAGACCTGCAGGATTCCTTCTGGCAAATAGCGTTCATGCACAGAAGTATTCGATCTTCACTATTATTAACAGTTACCGGCGAATCACAAAATGGACAGAACTCGATATTTCCAATTTTTGAGCTAAGAATTTTGTCCTGAAAAATATTCAACAAGTTTTCGAAATAATTGCTTCTATAACATTTGCGTCATGTCATATTGTTTGAAGCTTGGTGATTTAATCTGTTCAAAACTTCGCCTCATCTGTTTAAACTCGCCCACTGGATCAGATAAGAATAAGGTCAAGAAATCATGCCGTAAAGAATTTTTCGACGAACTCTAAATAATAAGACAAAGGAAGTTTTTTCACAGCCAAATTGAAATGCCAAAATTACTGCCATTCTCATCTCGGAAAAGAGCTGCAAAATGACCATGAAGTAATTTTAAGGATGACAAATTAAGAATATTTGCGGAGTTAAGGAACGGTAAGCTAACATACAACAACTTCTATGGGAAATTAATGTTTCTTAGTAAGGCAAAACATCACTTTTAAACAGCGTAGGATAAGTAAGCGAAGTAAGGATGATGACAAAATATTTTGAATAGACGAAATTTCAAAACGACCACTTGTACACGATGGCTCCATGCAAGATATCCAATTCATACCTAGATTTTTTTTCTTTTATTAAAATGCTGTCATAATAAATCGTCGTTTTATTTTTCACATAACAGTTTCATTCCAAAATTCTGCTTCTTTCTACAGGAGCAATGACAGTCTTCTTGCGAAGCTTGACTTGCGAAGTATTGAAAAATAAAAATGGAAATACGATGTATTTTGTTAAGCAAGAATGACCCTTTGTCACCCTCCATCCGTCCTCCCTCCTGGCATATTGCGCTTCTCCTTCCATAATCAAAAGTTGAACGAACCATCGCCAATCTGAGCTTCTGCATGTTGTTTTACACAATCCTTACAAAATTCATGATTTCCATTGTTACATTTGATCATATCTTCATCCAAATAACGATCCTCGCAACAAATGATGCATCCTTTCAGTAAGCCATTCCGCTCCGCATGCTCTAATGCTTCCTTTCGTTTTGCAGCATGGTTTGCTTTGTAATCTGCAATGTATGTCATAAAAATATGAAAATATAATATAAGCAATTTATGTTTCAAATGGGAATTATTGCGTGGAAATTTACGTGGGAATTATGGAAAGCAAAAAATAGCCAAAATATTATCCAAAATTCCTGAAGAAAAAGAACCAAGTAATAACTTAATATTTCGTCTTCATGTAAGCAGTATTGTGCTTCTCGGAAAAATAATTCATCTAGTGAATCCGGATACTCCGGCACTTTCCCGCTGTCAGATATTCGTCTGAATTTCACTTTAATACGAGCGTTCGTGATGAAATGAGGAGCATTTTCACCTAAAATTTGATGCCATAGCATATTTGAAATTAAAAATTTCCAACAACAAACATTTCCAGTTGTAAATGTCTTCAGCTGAAAATATTAAATGCGTACCAATACGAGAATGCTAAGCTCACTACATTCCGCAATATGTTCCGCTGAGGACACTGCTAGAACGGGTTTTACATGACACTGATTGGCTATTCGCAACCTTTTTATTATATACAGAAAAATAATTCCGGATGTCCAGCTCTAATTCAAATTGATACTGTCAGGGAAAGACGTACAATTGGCGTTCGACTCATTACGGATGTATTATCAGTTACTAAGACGGCTACGCAGATAACTACCGGGTAGTTGACGGCTACAGGATACCTAGACGGCTATCTCAATTGAAAGGTAATATTTCGGGCAAAGATACATTTGAAAAAAAGAAAGAGAATCATTCAACCAAATATTCAAGGAAATGAAGTTTCTGGTTTTGTATTAATTAGAGGCCAACTCTGACAGCAGCTGCACAGTCAAACTTCGGAAGAGAAAGTGCGACGAACTTGGCAGGCTTTCATTGAAATAAACTTGCCTCAGTGACTAACTTAGAGTTCACCGCACTAATTTCTGAATTTAAAGCACATCAAGCTTGAAGATTGGACAGTTGGAAAGATCTGTGCCGGAACATCATAATGAAACAGAAAGGAAACGAAGGACTATTGAGTTCGGTTTTGCAGTCCAAAAAATAGAGTACAAAATGCGCGAGACAAACATCACAAAAATGTGAGCTCCCATTTCTAAGAACAAATAGATTCACTGATTCATAAAAGTAAAATCAAACCTTTTGCGAATGCCTCAGCGTGTTTCTTCAAGATTCTATAAGCGGGTAATAGCTGTTTTTTACAGTTGGTAAAAACTTTTTTCAAGAATTTCATATCATACTGTTCAAATTTTCGCGACAAAAAAGCCTAAAAACGCAATAGGAGTGCGAAATTTGGTGGATTTTGCTGATAAATGAACTAAGCTTGGTACTACTTCGTACAATGTAACCATTTTTAATTAAAAAACAGAATTTGAAAAACAGTAGGAACTGGAGAACAAACAAAGTCTCGCTAAAAAAAGAACAGGAGGAACCATCAAAAGCAAGATTTTGTTTAAAAAAAAAAAACATTTTTTAACAATCCAAGTAATTATTATTACCTACCAACCATATGTTACTGTAACTGTTTCCCTATTAAAAAAAATCTTCGACCAGTGAGAAACTCAAAGATTAGCAAACCATAGCATGTTTCATATAAATTTCATCCGTTTTGCGCTTTTTCTCGAACAATATTTCTGGATTAGGATATATCGTAAGAAATTGAACAAAATCAAACGGTTCTCCATTTTCACCAAGATAAGCTTTGCGACGTAGTTCCATGCACTCACGACGTATACGTTGCTTAATTGTCGGATAGTTGTCTCTGAAAAGATCTAAACGAACAACTTTTACCTATTACAAAACCGCATAGAGATCTATTCTCCGTACTACCACATTAATATAAATACAATTGCAAAAAGGCACCTTTATGACACATACTTCTTTATCATTTGATAATAATGCTAAGCTGTTACATTTCGAAAATCAAATATGTCAGATCAAATATTGAGATATTATTAAGTCTTTAGTAAAAACAAAAATGAAAGGCTACTCAAAACTAACGCTCAACAATGGTTTCTATGCTGCTCATATATTTGGTTGTAATCAGATTGTAAACGTACGATGGATCTACCGTTGGCACCACCTGAAAGTCAAGAAATTTCAAATCATGAAAATATGCTTGCTCTCGAAATCTCACTATTTCCAAAAGCTTTACCTGACATGCTGTATAAAGGACTTTCCGCTCCTCTATTGTCAAATAATCGATTTGCTCATTTTCAATGAACAATAGTCGTTGCTTATTCAAATGTTCCGCCCACTCATCAAATGAAGTTAATGTACGTTTACGTACACCGCTAGGCCCTGGCTGAGGCTCCAATTCACTAGTTTTCCAAGCAGTCACTTAAGTTGCAATTCAAAATTAAACTGGTTATCATCATAGAATTTCGAAATTTAAACCATGTTTAGTAACTCAAATCAAAATTATTCTCTGCCGTATTATAGACAGTGATACTCCAGTAGTAAAGGTTATAATATCATTTGAATACGACACATCGTTCCTGGAAACTTATTCCATTTTTATGTTTAGAAAAGTACACCTGTTGTATGATTGCACTCCTCAACCATTTCTCCAAAATAACTTTCATATAAACGGAAGGGAACTGAAAAAATTTGCGCACTAAAATAATACATTGACTTGATACTAATAATTAATACGTAGACAAGTGAACGACATAGTTTGAATAGTTCACCAAGACTTTTTTGATCTCATGCTCTCCAAATAGATGTTAAACTTAAGAAATTATCTATAAGGTTACTCGCTTCATTATGCATTAAGCTCTCCCAGCATTTCAACTATTTTGTCTGGTCTTCATTATGCATTAGAATCGATAATCAGATTTACGTTTCCTTTCTGAATCCCCTTTTCTTTCTCTTTCATTTTTTTTCCAAAAAGAAATGGTTGTAACCTTTTGAGGATTCTAAGCTGCACATCAAGTCTAATGATCTAAGTTCTTCAACTGGTAGCAAAATCTTGATGATACTATCTTTACACATAAAATCTAAAATTTAATAAAAGCTTCAATCATATATTTGCCCTGCAAGGATCTTAGTCCTCTTTATTGGTACTGGAGACTTAGTCATACACGGATTTATTGACAGCACGACTTATGTGACACCTCCCGACTTATGTAATTTTTCTCTAGCATATTAATTTCTCCAATGTAATCTATCCATCACTTTTTGCATCTCTTAGGGTAGTACCATCTACGCTGTTGTGTTTGATATCATTCAAATGCAAGGAAAATATCTCCATCTCGGAGTTCATTATGTGGTGTCATCGTCATAATTGAAGAAGTTTTGAAATTGGTCAAATTTGCTATAAAGTCTTCTGATCAAATACATTTGCAAAATTTGCATAGGTACAGAATACAGATTTAGATTATTCAATTCCGCTATGAATTATATTCTCGTATGTAGCAATTTTTTTGAAAACTATGATCACATTATAGAACCGTTGCAATTCATCTTTTCAGTTCAGATATTCAGAAGTTTTTTTTTTGGAATTAATATTTAGGATGGAAAGTCAATCATTGCTATTTTTTAATAAAAACATTTAGCCTAATGAGAGTAAAATAATCAGCACTAAACTTCCCAGATTGGATATCACCGGATCTTTGCTCCTTTAGTTCTTTTCTAATGTAGTGAACAGAGTTGAGAGCTACTCTAATTTTCAAAAAGCTTACGATATCAGCCACCATGTAGAATCGTTCTGAATTATCTTTATTTTGATAGTACACAGCTCCTTCCACCTACTTAGGAAATGAACTAAAGACTGAAATAGGAATCTCAGGAAAACACGATGACTAATTGTTCAACAAAACGTCAAAACCTTCTCATACCATCACTGAAACAACCTGCAACTTTCCCAAATGCTACATTCTCCCCGAAAATTTAAAATTTTCGAAATTGAATTCAAAATGAAATCCGTCTTCATGATTACAACTCAGCTTCATCTTAGTCCGGAAATGAGTTTGAAGAGAAAAAAAACTTCTTACTCGACGTTGCAACCTACCACTGCATCAGATACAGTTGAACTAGGAATACATTGAAATAAATGATCCAGAACCACCGAACGGTTCTGCTAATCCCAGTAAATTCTACTCTCCTGCG